GAACCCAAAACAACAAGCATGAACCCCATTATCTGGTTAAGGAAAACCAAAGAAGACCTAACGATTAATCCTCAAAAAAGGACATGGATAAATTCCAAGGAAACAGGAGAAAAGAAAAAATTAACATGCCTGAGGAAACGATGGCCTAGGTAAGACCCCCTCCCCCAAAAGAAAAGCGACATGTGACGGAAAAGCATATAAAGGAGGGGGAAAACAAATTGCCCTAAGCGACACACACCTGTTAAGACACACCTAGGTGCAGCTATGACAGGATACTTCACAGTTTATACAGAATGTTGCCAAATATGATACAATTCCCGATGGAACATAGCTGTCCTGCCCCTGGCCAAAAACTGTGTTATCGCCCCTGCAACGTGAATAGGAAATCTGCCATAGCAACAACATTAGTAGTAGTCATGACCATCCAAAACTGTGAGTGCATAACTCACAAAGTCGAAAAATTAGAAAAAGAAGAGTAGATGATCAAAGCTATATCTCAACTCTCCACTAAAAAAAGGGGAAAACAGCAGTAACTAAATTAGAAAACACTCGAAATTAAAAACTCGTGTATATAATAACTAAATTGCGAGCGAAAGTTATAATTTTCCTATCCTTAAAACTTATTTCCAATAGGTACTTACCTCCACTTTTTCTATATGCATTGTTTTTTCTCATGCCACAAGCCTCGAGCTCCTACGTACTTTAAAATCAATATGGTTCAACTGGGTCTCACATGCATATCATCATGTGACAACTCTTCACCAGTAGGAGGGTGACACACCCTCCTGACACATGTGATTCTCTGTATTTGATTCTACCAAACTATCACTTCGAGTTTTGGTAAAAAATGGAAGCACTATAGTTTTCAGTGGAGAGGAAGGGTGGGGAGTGTGAAAGAAGGTAAGTACTTATCGGAAATACATTTTCGGTATAGGAGAATTATAAATTCCAATATGGTACATTATCTTCTCTCACATAAATAGCTAGAATCCTACATCAAATACGTGGAGAGACCAGTGGGAGGGAAAGAAGGGCACACTAAAATAGTAGATATTTGCAGTAGAGGATAATAGATGGGAGACCACACCACTTCCATACAAGGTATATTATTTGCCCAGTGTGAAAGGACATGTCACAGGCATGAGCAGAAACTGGGAGAAGCACATCCAAAAGGGAGAGAACAATGGTTGGATAGAGATCCAGACTCCAAGATATTGAAATCTCAATCCCATAAAGTACATACTAATTAGATAATGGGAGATAAACATATGAGGTGTAGTCTCAGTGATCAATGGAAAAAGTTCCTCCAACATTCGACAAGGGTGAGATGCAAATAAAAGGGAAGGTGAAGAGTGAAGACACCAAGAATTGATTATGTGGGGAAAAAGAGATAAGGAAGAAAAGGCCAATCGAAACAAAAACCGAATCCAAAGGTAAGAGAGGAAGGAAAAAGTCACAAACAGAGGAGTGGTGCCAAGAAATGAAACAGCAGGAAAAGGAACTAATGGAAAGAAAAAGAAGAACATGTTCCACGAGCCACCAAAGTGGAAAAATTGATCCAGAACAGGAAGGACAGATCGAGATGAAGCAGCTGAGAAAATCAGATCTGTGTCGACCAGGAAGGAGTAATTAGAAAGACCTGACACAAGATTACAAATGGGATGAGTGAATAAAGGTATAAACAGGTTCCAATCCTGTCTGAATGCATCACTAGCCAAGCCAAGTAACTGGAGGCAAAAACACACAGATCTGAAACAAGCTCGAAGGGCCAGGCACGAAACTAATACCGAATTCCGTTGTGAACAAACTTAAGACAGCACAATACAGTCCTAGAGAAAAGGCCCACCATAGTGTGATAAAAACAATATAGGAAAAAAGGACAGAATCAAGAAGTGATTGAGGTGGGACATATCAATCATAGAACTCAAACTGCATCAAGAATACATGACTAATGTAGGAACTGTTAAATGTAAGACAGGTAAATGGCGGGAAGATGCCGGACATAGAAAATAAATAAAGAATACCAATGGCAAAAGAGACAAATGAGCAACCAAAAGAGAAAAAAATCGAACATGGCAATAAAGATACCCAATATGATGCTAAAGTCACAGGAGTAACACCCCCAAACAAAAACAGACCAGTAGAGAAAAAGAGCTGTCTTTAAGTCCCAATTAGAAGTGGAAGGGAAACGCACTTGCTACAAGATGTATGCCTCCAAAGAAGATCCCAAAAGCAAAGAAGCCATGTCAGTAGGAAAAGAACCGAAGATGGCAATCACTCCAACATGGAGGTAAGAAGGAGGATGGTATTCTTTGAAAATCCCCAAGAAAAAATGGAATGCCTCAGAAAACTGGTGTATGGCAGCCAATAATAGCAGGAGAGGAGATAGGGAAGATGAAGGCTGGAAAACTTGGCTAGGGAGAAAGGGGTAGGATTAACAGATTCTGCCTCCATACAGGCAACAGAGATTCGAAGTGCACAGAAACAAGAAAACAAAAAAAAACAATCTGCTTGATGGTAAGCTAAAACAAAATGAACCAAAGCTCGTGGAGGGTAAGGTATGCCAGCACCATCTTTCAAAAGAGAGACAAAAAAGCCAAGTATGAACCAAAATATCTGAAAAAGGACGTCATCCCGAACGAGTTTGGCAGTTTGAGGATGAAGGTGGGCAATGATGGAAGAAGGGTGGGCAGACTCTGGATCCAGGTTCCTCAAAACGAAATTAATTGTAAGAGGTATTGTTATGACAGCGGAAGTCACGTGACTCTGGTAACATGTGATGAATTTCTCAAATCATCACGAATTAATGGGGAAGACCAAGTTTGTTCAAGATATTCTCTTTTATAGTATACAAGCCTGGCAGGGAAAGCGTGCTGGAATGAATGAAGAGAGTTCCGGGTAATTTACGAATATGTTTCGAGCTAGTGTCAGTGTTTTCGAGATTGTGAATCGTTGTGATTTATAGCGTGTATTATAAAAGTAGTTAAGTTTAAAGTGACGAGAAACGTACTGACTGTG